ATCAGACACTGAAACAGAGGACGACCAGTGATTAATGGTCCTAATAAAAACCATGCAAATCTAATGAGATTTGAAATCCCAGTGTAAGAATAAATTACATACAGCAAAGAATTCAGACAGATACCAATCTCACAAAAAGTGAGATTTAGGTTGAAGAATTCTGATGTAACTTCACTTCCTCTTCCTGTGACAATGAGCCATGCAACAAAGAAGTGTGTAGGAAAACCAAACAAGATACTGATGCTGCACGTACAAATGTCCAGGTCTTTTATTTCCTCAAATGCCTCATATATGAAGTTTGTAGATGCTTCAGATGTGAAGTTCACTGTAGTGTTATTCATCTCCTTGTTTATCCATCAGTTCAAAACCTCACAAAAAATTTAATAACATTGCAACCATAATCTATGGAGGGAAAAGTGTAAGGTGATGTCAGGTAAACTTATTAAGGATTCAGTCCTTAAACATGCAATAATTGAATACATATTTTAAATGATATGGATGTAGTTTCTGTCTAATTTGTTCTGAATGGAAATTTAACAAAATTAAATCTTATCTGAAGTCCCATAGAAATCAAGAAGGAAACATATAAAGACCATAAAATATCTTCATGAGTTATATTTTCATGGTCTGCATAAAAATATTGAAAAGCATCCTGTGGTTTATTATTGTGTAAGACACCATAAACGTAGACATAGTTTGTGTACTTCAAGACTAAAAATATGCTCAACATGACACTCATCTCTGTCTCAATCATCAGATTCTGTTTACACAGAATGCTCAAATTAGTATTTTTATTTTGAATGTGCTGTTTATCAGATGTCATGTTTATCATAATGTTTCATTATATCCACTGTTTTAGCATTTTAAAATGAACAAACGTAACATAATTCAACTGCAACTGAAACAAATCCAAGCAGGTCAATACGATTTAACCGTATATTTTCAATACATGCTATACTTCTATACTTTGAGAGTCCAATGAATAGGAAATAGACAATGTTTGATATTCTATTAATAATACAAAATTCTATTAATTATAAAAATCAAGTGTTTACTCTTGTAGCCTATGCAGAAAATACCAAGTTTACAAGAGATGTTTATCACCTGAAGAGTGAAGGTTGAGTCTCTCTGGGTGTATAGAAATCTCAGTGCTGTGTAGACTGACTTCACAGCTGTCAGAAGAATGTATGTGCATGACTTCATCTTATACACGTCCCATAAAACACCAGAAATGCAAATGTAAAATGTACAGGCTACAAAAGAGAGTCATATATGAAACTACTGGCTGACATTCATCAAATCACATTTCTAATGTAAAATCAGTATCAGTATTATAGTAGTATATCAATATAGTACACAGCACATCAAATGGATTATTGTGAATGACAGAAAGTCACACTATCATTTTCTAAGACAGTTTACACTGCAAAGACGGCATAGAAGCCACATGCAAAGCATCTGATTTCATCAAAAGGCTATTTAGATGATGTCCGATTTTTACAGAAGAGACTAGTTAAATGGGACACAGTCCCTTCAAGCACATCTTTTAAGATGTACAATCAAAAATGCTCACTGTCTCAGGTGCATACACAATGCTCAAAATAAGTAAAATGAAGTTGAAATAAACAACAATTTAGTAAACGGGTCATTCTCAGGAATGGGTCTGATTATATCTGTTGTTATATCATTATTAAATTAACAAACTTCACATAATTTAGTCTGTGTGAAACAAAGTCAAAGATGTAAGATTTGAATGTAAATTTAAAATTAATATGGCAAAGCCTCCAATTTAAATACAATTTACCAAAATCAGATATTCTAGTATTAACAACAATTTAAAGTTTACTTAGATTCATATTTAAAAGAGTTTATGAAAGGAGTTATCACCTGAATTTTAATATCAGCGAGAATGAGCAATGTATGAATAAAACTCACAGACCGGCGACACTTTCTTTTCTGTGTATCATTTTATTATATTCATGTGCGTGTTTACAGACAAATAATATATAACAGTGAAATCACATTATCGGTCTTGTCGTGTCTGCAAAGGAATATAGCGACATACATGATCTCACGTCGTAAACAGTTCAAAATCATTGAAATGGAAAAAAGAAAACATGGTTTATCATTTAAGATTTAATCCAATTTACACTTATATAATAACCATATCTGATAAACAAACTCAATAAATGTAATCTTTATGTAACAAAAGAATAATCAAATATACAACTATAAGTCAGTTTGTGTTGCTCTCTAAATAAACAGTGAATGAGTGTCACACTACCATGATCTGAGTCACTTCACACTGCAGATACGGCACAGAACATTTTGGGGGAAAAAACAAAACTATATATACGAGTCAGAATGAAAAACAATCCTGAGATAATAAATGGAACATATATGATAGCCATGCTCACAGTAGTTATGAGAATGAGGTAAAACGCTCTTCTCTTCATGTGGTTTTGCTCCTCTCTCTCTTTCTTTCTCTCTCCTGGTCCTGACTGCTTCAGAGCTCTGAGAACAGCCAAACAGTAGAACAACTGGATGCAGAGGAAGAGGAAGTACTGTAGTGAGTAGCAGCATACATAAATATAGAAGTTACATGAGATTATATTTAACATGCAGGACAAACAGGATACAAGAGTGATTATCCAGACCGCAGAGCAGCAGATCACTCTATATCTGAGAGGCTTGAACTTCAGAAAGGTTACAGGATGAACCACTGCCAGGTAACGCTCAACACAGATCAGACACTGAAACAGAGGACGACCAGTGATGAAAAGTCCTAATAATAAATATTTTAATGTCTTGAGACTTGAAAACCAGTGATCAAGTACATGGAGAAAAATGTTCACACAGTTGACCATTTCACAAACAGAGAGATTGAGGATGAAGAACTCTGATGCAACTCCACTTCCAGTTCTTGTGACGATGAGCCATATAACATAGGAGTGTGTAGGAAAACCAAACAGGAAATTGAAGCTGTGCAGACAAAAATCCAAAATCTTCAGTGGCCCGATGTGTTGAGTTGTGGAGAATGTAGATGATTCAGGTATGAAGTTATCTGTACAGTTATTCATCTCCTTTGTATTTGTCTCTCAGCTCAAAAACTCACTGAAAATGTAGGCATTCTATTGAGGAAAAAAAAAAAGTATCTAGATATGAACCTAAATTGCCTTGTAGTTTCAAAGCTGTGTTATGAAGGATTTTACAACATGATTTGTATGTCACCAAAAATCGATGTTCACAAGTTCTTACACAATATATTTTCATTCATGTATTTTTTGGAGAAACGTGTTCTATAAAAAAATAATTTGTTTATTAATTTAAAGTCTCTGGAAATATAGATTGCATAAATTACATTTGCGGTCCTACATTCTCAGAAAAAAAAGGTACAAAAACTGTCACTGATGCAGTACCTTTTCAAAAGGTAAACTTTTGTACCTTATTTACCCCTATAAATTATGCATATTAATAGTTCAAAGGTACATATTAGTACCTTAATTATACAAATTATGGTAACACTTCAAGGTGTCCTTGTTACACGTTACATGTACTTACTATTATAATAACAATTAATTATGCATAATTACATGCAAATAACCCTAAGCCAAACCCTAATCATCCTGACCCTAACCAAATAGTAAGTACATGTAGTCAATTAATATTATTCAGTACTTAAATGTATAATTACACTGTAACAATGACACCTTAAAATAAACTGTAACCCAAATTAGTACCTTTTGAAAGATTACTGCCTCATTGACTGCTTTTGTATCTTCATGGTCTGCATAAAAATGCTGAGATTTGCTAAGTATTTTATTTCATCAAAAGGCTATTTAGCGGTCTCATTTTAATAGAACAGAATACCTTTTTTGAAACACAAATGTTAGAACTGCTTATGATGATTGCAACATAAAATAGTTTTCATGATACTCATCTTTGTCTCGTGCACAACAGTCTAGAAATAAGTGGAAGCAAGTTTAATAATAAACGGGTCAGTCTCAGGAACAGGTCTTATTATCTTTATTGTTTTTATATATTCTTAATTTTTTTATCATTATTAAATTAGAAAACTTCACAAAATTCAAAGTGTGTGAAAATTCAATGGTACAGAGGTAAGATTTGAAGGTACATTTTTAAATGCATTCTATGATCAGCTTCTATAAGCCCCAATTTAAATGCCATTTACTAAAACATTTAAATAACAAATACTTTAAAGTCAAACATTCTAGTAATAATATCAATCTTTTTTATTATTAACACTATTATTAACAATAATAATATAATGTCTATGTTCCTATAGAAGATCTTAGAGAATAAGACGAGTTTTATCACCTGAAGAGTGAATGTCCTGGATGTGTATACATCTCTGTACTGTGTTTTGTAGACTGACTTCATGACTGTCACAAGCATATATGTGCATGACTTCATCTGCCTCATAGCACAAATCATAACATATTGAAATATATTAATTAAACATAAGGTTAAAAATGTAGTTTATCTTGCTAAACATTTGAATGGAGCAACACTGACTGATTTGCATTTATAATCGTTCATCAATGCACGTCTACACAACATTTAACTGAATCACATTCAATACTAAGCACAACAACAACAGTATATGGAAAAGGTAACAGCAGGTCAATGCTTTAGTATTTTATTAGATGACAGACTTTCAGGAATCAGCACACTGGCCGCAAACTAAATCTGAGTTAATGTTGAACAATCAAATGTTCAACTGTATGTTTGTTTGTGATGGTGCATCTCTTTAAATAAAAATGCAGAGAGTCACACAAACACATTCTAGCAGATATTTATTGAATTATTGATTGATCTGAACATGGAATGTTTGCATATTGATGAAGCAATTTACTGTAAAAAAAAAAAAAAACAAGCAAACGACAAACAAATAAAATCTACAAGCAACAACCACATGTAATTAACATACAGACTGGAGTTAATGTGATAATGTGTAAGAAATTATTTGAGGTGGTTTAGTAAGATCTAAAAGCTAAACAACTTAATGATTTATAGAAAGTGAAGACAGGAGAGTTTTCCAGTCCGGTTCAGATAAAGAACCGGCTGAACAAAACCAGCCAAAATAAAACTAAATAATCCAACAATAAACATTTCCGGAATATACTCTTGGCTCAGAATGAAAAACAATCCTGAGATAACAAATGGCACATAGATAACAATCATGTTCACAGTAGTTATTAGAATGATATAAAATGCTCTTCTCTTTCGCTCTCGCTTTCTCTCTCCCGGTCCTGACTGCTTCAGAGCTCCGAGAACAGCTAAACAGCAGAACAACTGCATGGAGAGGAAGAGGAGAAACTGCAGTGAGAAGAACCATGTATAAAAATAAAACAAGTCTTGAGTAAACATGCAGAATAAACAGGATCCAAGAGTGATTATCCAAGCCGCAGTGCAGCAGATCACTCTATATCTGAGAGGTTTGAACTTCAGAAAGGTTACAGGCTGAACCACTGCCAGGTAACGCTCAACACACATCAGACACTGAAACAGAGGACGACCAGTGATGGCGAGTCCTATTATACAGTCAGTTATTTTCTTGAGAATTGGACGATAATCAAATAGGGACAGCAAAGAATTCAGACAGTTACCAATCTCACAAACAGAGAGATTGAGGATAAATAACTCTGATGCAACTCTACTTCCTGTCCCTGTGACGATGAGCCATATAACGTAGGAGTGTGTAGGAAAACCAAACAGAAGGTTAAACATGTCCAGAATTCTCATTAGCCCAAAGTAAAGAGTTGTGGAGTTTGTAGATGCTCCAAACGTGATGAAGTTCACTGTAGAGTTATTCATCTCCTTATTTGTTCCTCAGCTCAAAAGCTCACTGCAAATGTAAAAGTTAAATGAAAAAAAAAATGGACAGGATAAGGTTGTAGTTTCATAATCCTTCACAATAATTTAAATGCATAGATCACCCAAAAATTAAAACTATCATCATTTACTCACCCTAATGCAGGGGTATCCAACTACAGAGTCCTGCAGAGTTTTGTTCCAACCCTGCTCCAACACACATACCATGTACTTTTCAAATAAGCTTGAAAGACTTGATTAGTTGGATCAGGTGTGTTTAATTAGGGTTGAATCTAAACTCTGCAGGGCTCCAGCCCTCCAGGAATTGAGTTTGACACCCCTGCCCTAATGCCATACCAAAACATGTATAAATTTCTTTTTTCGTTGGAACAAAAAATTATTTGAAAATGTCTTTGCGTTTTATTTGTTCATATAATGAAAGTCAAAAAGGTCAGTGTTGTTCTGACTCTAACATTCTTCAAAATGCATTTATTTTGTGTTCCACAATTTTCATTTTTGGTTGAACAATCCAATTAAACAATCACCTTTTCCCAAATCTGTTTTCAACATATAGCAACTGAGCAGTTGAGCAATTATCTGACTATATTAATGCTTTCAGGGCAAGCTGATGACGATGCTTATGATGAATGCAATATAAAGTGTTCAATTTTACACCTATGTCTGACTCTCAAGCAGTATCAAACTTCACATATTACAGACAGAGTTAAACAAAAAAAACAATCAAAACAAAGTTAACAAAAAAGTAAGATCCAAAGAACCATTTTTAATACATTCAAGTTCAAATAACTACAACACTCTAATAATAAGAGTGTAGATTCCATATAGAAAATGTGTCACCTGAAGAGGTCATGATTCGCTACTGTGAGGAGCACGGAGACGAGGAGTGGAATTCAAACATATAGATTTTAATCACATCCAAGGAACAAGGAAAACACACGTAGCAAGGGTAGACATATACAATTCCAAACAAGGGAAATTCAGAAACACAGGGTTTAAGTACAGGGGAACTAATGGGACACACCTGGGAACAAATGAACTAAATGACAGCAACGGAAAGGACCAAATAAGGGCAAAAGGAAACATAGGAAGCAAAACACACACAAAACATGGAACAGAGTCTGACAGAAGAGTGAATGTCCAGTCTCTCTTCATGTATAGCCTTAAATCTCTGTTCTGTGTTCTGTAGACTGACTTCACTGCTGTCACAAGAACATGTGCATGATTTCACTTAATCTAGGTGTCAAATAAAACAACATATGCAAATATTTAAAGTGAATAAAAATATTTAATATATATTAAGATCAAACACTGGAACCAACTGATTTTGGATTTGAAATGGTTCAACAAATAATTTTTTATACAACATTTAACTAACATGATAAGTTTACGATTTTTTATTTATATTTTAGCTTTGTAATGTTACCATGTAATGTTGCCAGTGGTGAATTACCAATTTTACTATACACCACTAAAACTTTTTTTTTTCAAATACCCCCTTCAGTTTGATGGCTTATTTTGAACCCAGCCAGTTGTGCAACTTAAGCCTTTAAAAATTAATCTCTGTGGGAACCCTCAATTTGTAAAAGTGTCATTGATGAAGAGTTTTATTAGATAAACAAATGACAGACTGGCAGCAACCACATCTAATAAACACGTGGAATACAGTTAATATGTATGTAAGAAAGCCAAGAATTTTATAAGTAATGGGTGGATAAGTATCATTTACAGTTCCCTTTCAGTTGGTCACTCTCGACGTCACTTCGGTGATGACCGACAAATTGGGATCTCGCCAGAGAGACCAATCCACTTAGAGTGTAACTAAACGAGCCAATGCACATTGGCATGCGATTATTGCATCCAGCTGCCGCTGATCACAGCATGAGTATAAGAGGCAGCAGGTGCACCGCATTCATTCATCCTTTCGCTTTGGAGCCGAGTGGTAGTGCATCACTACTGCTCTCTACTTCGGTGTTGCAAAACAGAGAGCCAGCGAGTGTGGGCGTTACAGCATGGCAGCAGTGGTCACGGTCTCACAGCGGGAACAGAAATCAACATCGTGCAAACAGCCACACCAGGAGTGTGCGGTGGCCAGCTCCCCTGCGTGCTTCAGCACAAAAGATAATTTCTCTAAAAGCAACACGGGTGATTGCGTCTTTTTAAAGATGTCCTATCATCAGTGCGTTTCTGGGTGCGATCGCTATCTGGTGCCTCGGGACGGTCACGATTGCTGTCTCACGTGTCTGGGCATTGAGCACGCTGAGCAAGCATTCGTGGACGGTGCATGTTTTATTTGTGGGGACATGACCGTCTCAGAGTTGCATGTAAGACTCAGTTACGTCAAACTTGGCAGGGTCGCTCAAATCTCGCACAAATCTTGTAGCTCCTCCGCTCTCACCACCCTCGATGGTGGAGCCGCTTTGGGGTACACGGTCATTCCCTCGGTGTCCAGGAGTGCCATCTCTGGCTTTGTCTGGCTGACATGAAGGAGCGTGATAAGGTACAGTTCCTGAATGCTCCCATGTCTCAGACCAGCCTTTTCGGCGACGCTGTCGAGACCTTCGCCCAGCAGTTCTCGGCGGCACAGAAGCAGACGGAGGTGATCAAACACATCCTGCGCCGGTGGAAACCTGCTGCTTCCATCCCAGCTGCAGCCCCTCAGCCTGCCCGTCGCCGTGGGCGCCCCCTGCAGCTGCCCCTGCTCCCACGCAGCAGCAGCAGCCTTCCACCAGGCAGCGTCGTGGAGCCGGTCGCAGGCAGGTCGCCCAGCCCGTCCAGGCCCCCGCCAAACCTGGCGGTAAGCGCAAGTGCAAGATGCACTGAGACGGGCGACCCGGAGATGGAGGAGACTGCTCGTCGGGAGGTGGTGACTGCAAGAGGAAGAGGGCAGGGTGGAGAATCCTTTGTTTCGTTTTGTTTTTGTTCTGCCTCTGGTCCAGCAGCCAGCAGTACCCAAACCTTCAATAAAAGAGCGGTTTCCTCTGGGTCTCAAGAGGAGGAGAGTTGTGAACTGTGCATCAAAGGGTCACTTCCCCCGTCCTCTCTCACCAGCGGGCAGCAGTGGGTTGCCCAAGAGCACCCCTCCTGCCCATTTATGGAACCAGGTGGGGGTTGTAGCATTGAAGTCCCCGCTTCATGTCATCACATGCCAGGCTGACACAAGCCTCAAGCTTGGACCCTGTGTTTTCTCCCGCGCAAGGAGGAATCAGGTGAGTGTTACACTTCACACCCAGACTCCGCCCGTCCCTGTGTTCCACCGTGGGTACATCGGTGGCTCCGTTGGTTCCTCTGGCACGGTCTCTCGGAGCCTGGTTAGCAGATTGGTTTGCAGCTATCGACCTGAAGGACGCCTACTTTCATGTCTCAATCCTCCAGCGGCACAGGCCATTCCTGTGGTTCGCGTTCGAGGGTCGCGCATATCAGTACAAGGTCTTGCCCTCCGGGCTGTAGTTCTGCTCGGTCTGCTCCATATGAGTCTGCTTCAGCACTCGCTCCATGGCCGAGTCCTGAGGTGGGCATGGCGATGCAGTACTCACCGTTTTCAGATTACACCGGCCTGCCGCAGAACCTTCAGCCCGTGGTCAGATCCTTCGTTTCTTTGGGCAGGAGTGCTCCTGAAACAGATATCCAGGCATGCTGTGGTATTCATGGATGCCTCGACCACCGGATGGGGGGCCGCGTACAACGGGCACGCAGTCTCAGGGGTTTGGACGGGTCCGCAACTGCGTTGGCATATCAATTGCCTCAAGTTGCTAGCAGTACGCCTTGCCCTGAGCCGCCTCAGAGAGTGCCTTAAGCAGCACTTCCAGGAGAGTGGAGAGTCCACCCCCAGGCGGTTCAGTTGATCTGGAGACGGTTTGGAGTTGCTCAGGTAGACCTGTTTGCATCTCCAGAAACCACCCACTGCCAGTGGTTCTACTCCCTAACTCCCATATTGGCCTAACAGGACCTGGTTCCCGGAACTCATGCTCCTCGCAACAGCCCCTCCCTGGCCGATTCCTCTGAGGAAGGATCTGTTTTCTCAGAGACGGGGCACCCTTTGGCACCCGCGTCCAGACCTGTGGAAACTCCATGTGTGGTCCCTGGACGGGACACGGAAGTTCTAAGTGACCTACCTCAGGAGGTAGCTCTCACTATCGCTTCAGCGCATTCTCCGTCCACGAGACAGGCCTATGCGCTGAAGTGGAACCTGTTCGTCGAATGGTGTTCCTCCCACCAGGAGGACCCTCGGAGATGTTCGATCAGAGCCTTGCTTTCCTTCTTGCAGCAAGGGTTGGAGCGTAGGCTGTCCCCCTCCACCCTTAAGGTTTACGTTGCTGCTATTTCGGCCCATCACTACCCCATAGAGGGGAGGTCGGTGGGGAAGCATGATCTGGTTGTCAGGTTTCTTAGGGGGGCCAGGAGGTTAAATCCTCCTAGGCCTTCCTCCCTGTCCTCTTGGGATTTGGCATTGGTGCTAAGAGCCCTACACGCTGCCCCCTTCGAGCCTTTACAGTCAGTCGAGCTGAACTTTCTTTCTATGAAGACCCTACTCCTGACTGAATTGGCCTAGATCAAGAGGGTGGGGGACCTGCAGGCATTTTCGGTCGACGGATCGTGCCTTGAGTTTGGGCCGGCTGATTCCAGTGCAACACTGAGACAGAACTCAGAGCTTTAGGACCTCAGAACAGCTCTTTGTCTTTTACGGTGGACAGCAGAAGGGGTCTGTCTCCAAGCAGAGGATGGCCCACTGGATAGTGGATGCCATCACCTTGACCTACGAAGCTCAAGGTGTGCCCTGCCCGCTCAGGTTGCGTGCTCACTCCACCAGGGTCCACCGAGTCCTCCAGCACTCCAGCGGCCAGACGTGGCGGAGGGTCCGGTGCCAGGCCTTTCAGCCAATGAATTCCTGAAATCTGGTGTGAGGCTAGTGCCCATATGTGTGACCCAGTTGGGATCCCATATGTGTATTCCACAGTACAGTTATTAAGGCCATGTTTCCCCTTGCAGACCACGTTCTGCCGTTCTCTAAATGATGCAGCCATGAGCCATCTCAGAGACTTCCATGTGCAGTAGAGCCCCCCGGGGTTACTCCACGTAAGTAAATGTCACTTAACCCCCTCTGGGAGGAGGTGACTCCGCAGTGTGTCCTCTTCCAAATGGAAGGGCACGCTTTCCCAGTGTTATCCAAGTC